ATGAAGCAGGCTGCGTTCCCACTGAGCGCGTCACGCGTCGCGTCATCCGAATTGACCGATCAAAACATCCTATTTTATTGCGTAATTTGCCGTGCAATCCGGGATTTCATACCAAGAAAAATTCTTTTATCTTTAGACTGTCGAATAATCTAATTGATGCGTCTTGCAAGAAGTTGCGCGGCAAATCATGCAATAAAATGGAATACTTTGGTCAATTAATCGTGACGCGACGGACGACGCGACGCGTGACGCAGTGGAAACGCAGCCTAAGCGCCAAACGGAACGCAGCCTTAATCTCAATCTTAATCTTAATCTCCAATGCGTAGTCTGATACCGGCTTAAATCTCTACTTCATTATTTGTCCAGATTCGTACTTCTAGGGACTTTAGCGATGAGATAGAATCAAGCTCACCATCTATCTCTGTTCGCGTCCGACGGTTAATGGCCAAATGACAGAGAACCTCTCCTCTAAAAGTCCATTGTGAACATATTCGACATCACGCGAGAGCGAATTGCCGGGGTACGTGCCAGAAAATGCAAGTAATCGGGTCGTCGCGTTAAGAAAAGTGAGTGTCCGTTCGTCCTGCGTAATAGACGCAGGATTCCGACAAAAAAAAGTATCACTTGGATCAAATCGAGTCGCGTTGAAGCGTACTAGATTTGGGCGATTGATTTTTGGTGTCGCTGCGCGTTTACCGGACGCGAGTTGTAACAAACGGCAATCGAATAAACGCGCTTGCTCGTGCAAGAAAAACTGACGTATCGAAATTTCACTAGTAATTGGAGTTTTGTGACGACAAGAGTCTGATACTAAACAGAAAAAAGAGAGAGAGAGAAAGAAAAGGGAATCTGGTGCGCGAACGCAGCAAGCGGCGAGAAGGGGAGAAAGAGAGAGAGAGAGAGAGAAAGTGTGTGTATTTTGTATGTGTGTATGTGTGAATAAGCGAATCAGTGAGAGAAAGATGCGCATGAGAGAGAAAGAGAGAGAATGGGAACGAAAAAGAAGTGCCGTCGACCTTCGCTTTAATAAAATGGAGCGAAGAGGGCTGACGCTGGCACTGCTGGCAGGCGAGCGAATGAGTGCGCGCACGCGCTTTGTACGAATCACATACAAGCTGTCTCCTCTGAAACGAGCGATTCTCTCTCGAGGCATCCCGCCGCGGCAGGGGATTTCATCGCTGCGTTACCCGGGTAACGCCCCCCTCGAGCATAGTGCCCGTCCTCACGTCGGCACGTACAATTGTCGTCCGCGGTCTTTCGAGGCCCGCGCAAGGGCTTGGACGTATGCAGTACTGTGGCGTCATCCAAGCGCTTTGAACGAGTCGCGTTGTAAAAAAAAAGTGACACTACAGCCCGCTAGTAAAGGAACAAGACATTCATTTCAGAAGAGATCAAGGTAGAAAATCGCGTCGCAAGTGACCACAAATCCGACCGGCGATGTGCCCTGCCTTCTGCCGCTGTCATGAAGGCGATGCCTGCCGCGAAGATGACACTCGTTTACATGACGCGGACCGAGTCCGATCGACCATCGGTCGGCTAAAAGTTAATGTTAAATTGAGCACATGGCGTGCTTATACCACCCGGCGTCCATCGTCGCTGTCAAGTGCCGTCGCTGACGTAGCGACGCCGTTACGGCGTGTTATTTCGCCGCGAGCGATGCGTCCCCGGGGACGAGCGCGCCGCGCGTTCTCGGCACGCGACGTCGCAATCGCCGGTCGTTTACATTGCGACGATTTCCGCGACGGTTCGTGGCCTCGGGGGGGCCATTGACGGATCCCACGTACACGCGCGCGTGCGCTCGCGCGCGCGATAATCTCGAGTTCCTCGGGGAATTCTGACCGCGGTTTCTGACTCGCGTGCGGAACATCCGCGGCACGCATGGATCTCATGGACACGCGGTGAGTGACACCGATGGTAAGGCATCGGCATACCGGCGATGTGCGCTTTGCAACGAAGACGTACACGTATTTGTGGACTGTCGCAAAAAGTCGGATTTTCACGTGAGAAAAAAACATCCCCCCAAAAAAATGCACTTTAAAGAATGCTAACTTTAACATCTCTCGACCTTAATGACATCTGTATCAGATTTGTGACGTATAGAATTTTTCACTTAGGCCAGTCGATCCTAAGGACGAGTTCTTCTGAGACTTCCCATGATCTTTTGGCACGTTTGCAGCAGTTTGGAGTGTTGTCCTTATAGGTACAGCATATTATCTATAGAGGATTAATATTATTAATATCTGCATTATTGTATTGGTGTACCTGGATTGACAAAATATTTTTCTGCTGTACTTTCGTCTTCCATCTTGTATTTTTACTATAAGGTAACTACATTTTGGTTTATAATTGTACACATGTACCTGAATTTTATATCTAATAATACTTCTAAAATTGTTTTTTTTATTGTTTGTTTTAATTAACAATGTTATAGTAAATAATTAGGCTCTTGTTTATCTCAATATAATCATCTGATAATTTTATTTTGATTAACGCAACTTAAGATGGAAAATTAAATTTTTAGAGATGTCATCCCGAGATTATGATAGAAGAAGAGGCGGTAGCGGCAGTAATTCAAGTAGGCTGCGAATGGACACGAGTGTATCACAATCCCGACCACACGGCGAGAGTTCTAGCAAGCGAAAAGAGATCGACAATGTAATGCGAAAAGCACGCGAGTCGCAATCAAGCTACTGGAATAAGAAGCTGTTGGAAGCAGAAGAACGAGATCCGAATAGATGGCGTCACAGTGGATACAAGGAATTATATGTTGGCAGCAGCAGTGAACCTAGTAGAGGACATCCTAAGAGCCCAAGAAGTCCACGATCCCGCAGTCCCCATAGTCCACGACCGCGCAGTCCTCGAACGAGAAGTCCACGATCACCACGCGAACGTTCCTCCCGTGAACACAATAAAAATAGACAGACTGCCCGTAGCTCCAGTACGGGCAGTACATGTTCTGACAGATCGTGTTCTGTTTGTTCGCCGAAGGAACGACGGCGAGTTGCGCCTCCTTCTCGCTCACATTCGAGATCGATTAGTCCGATACGAACTAGGGCGCATCCCAAAGAAGTAATCGCGTCCAGTTCGCGAGCTTTACAGCCACGTACGAGACCACGGTCGCCGCCTTTACCTCGACCACGTACACCGCCGCCAGTACCGCAACCACCGCTGCGTCATCAGAAGGATTACAAAAATCTCAAAGAAAAAGAAGCCAAGATTCGCCGTAAAGAGAAACATCACAGTCGATTGCCAGAGGATCCACGAGTACCAGATCCTATCTCACTGGTAAATTAACTTTCTTATTTAATTCTTTTTTTTTTGTTTATTCTATGTTGATTATTACAAGTTTATTAATATTACAGTATAAGTATTAAACTTATAGTAATTAATTTTAGCGAAAGATTTTCTGAAGTCTTGTGTCTATGATACTAAAATTAATGAAAAATCGGTTCAAGTTCTCGGATGAAAACTGTATAGCCAATAAAGATGATGTTCTTTCGTAAAAGCTGCAAGTTGATTGGCTATGCAATTCTTGGTCTGAGAACTTGGGCCAATTTTTAATATTGCAGACATAAGTCTTAACAAATACTTTGTAAAATTATATATTAATTTCTTAGATGATTTCTTAGATTCTTATTGCATATTGTAAAATTACATATTAATTTTTTAAAGCGATGCTGGAAAGTAGAAATTACCGACACATTACAGTTTAGTAAATTTTTCTGAATTGGCTGAACGGAATTGAAAATCCTTTTACAAGGTTGAAATAGACATGAAATTGTGGTGTTAGACGGTCGAATTTGTAATAAAATCGGAAAAAAATTAAAAAATTACATTTTTTTGGGTCGTACAGCTGACACCTAACCATAACCTGACATAAACATTTCATTAGTATAAAAGTTCTATAGCTCATATGTACAAAATGCTTACGTCTAACACCACAGATTACATGAACGAATAATA